AGAGAAAGTTCTGAGATTCTCTGAGAATCAATAAGTACAGGTAGGTTCATATTCAGTCTCTCAGTGTGGCTGAGTCAACTGATTAAAAATGAAAGTATCAGTTTCTCTTAGACTTAGGGTTGGTGAAGTGTAGTCCACTAACCAAGCCCAAGTGACCAGGGTTTAATTTAATATCGACGCATGGTATTCAGTCAGGAAGTAAAACAAGGATGGCCCTGACTCACACTTCTTTTATTTCAAGCTTTGGGTTTCAAGGTGTGTCAAGCTATCATTTCTCCCACCCCCAAATATGACACAGGTGTTAATAACTTCTTTAGAACAGAGGTTCCACCGACAGGTATACTGATTTGATGTTTCCTGAAAGTATTTACTGATACCAAGATTAAGGGATGCACTGTCAAGGATTCCACATTCTGGGCTACAGGTACTAGTCAGTGTCTGAGACACAGCTCACCACATATCAGTTGGTGAAGTCAGGATGTTTCCTGTAACCCACACTAGAGCACATTTTTATGCTTGCGTGAAAACACTGTTCTGAAGTAATTTCCAATAGTCCCAGAATAAAAATCCCTTTAGGCCAGAAACTGCCACAGAGAAAACAAACAAACAAACAAAAAAATATGAGTTGGACTCCTATTTTTTTTTTTAAAGATTTTATTTATTTGACAGAGACACGGTGAGAGAAGGAACACAAGCAAGGGGAGTGGGAGAGGGAGAGGGAGAAGCAGGCTTCCCGCGGAGCAGGGAGCCCAATGTGGAACTTGATCCCAGGACCTTGGGACCATGACCTGAGCCAAAAGCAGATGCTTAACGACTAAGCCACCCAGGCACCTGGACTCCTATTTTTAAAAAGAGGTAGAAGGGGGAAGTGACATTTTCCTACTATGAAATTTTATTAAATTTTTTAAATCTGGAAAGTAACTCAGTTCATGTATTTTTTTATGCAGAGGAACCACACTGAATTTGGCATTAGAAATCTGTTCTGAACCAGACGGTGAAGGGTAGGGGCCAAGGGCAGGCTGCCCCCAAATAGGCCACTTTGGCATGAAGATTATTTTGAATTAAAAGCAATCAATGGGGCACCTGGGTGCCTCAGTGGGGTAAGCATCTGACTCTTGATTTCAGCTCAGGTCATGACCTCAGGGTTGTGAGATGGAGCCCCACATCAGGCTCCACACTGGGCATGGAGCCTGCTTAAGATTCTCTCTCTCTACATCTCCCTGTGCGTCTCCCCAGCCCCCTCACTCTCTCTCTTAAAACAAAACCAAAAATAAATAAATCAATAATAAATCAATAAATAAATAAATAAAAGGCAATCAAAACCCAGGAGATTCAAGAAAAGCTCTTTACCTCCCCCTCAGCAGCCTAAAAAGAATTTAGATAGAGGACCAGCTCCAGGAGGAGAGCTATCACCATAGATAACTACACTGTTATGAATTAGGTGTGGTAGACAGGGAGGAAACTAGTAAGGCCTCTTTGATCAAAGTTCTCTACATCCCATTGTTTCTGAGTGGCCCAGCAAACACATTTACCAAACACTTATTCTTTTTCATTTTCCTGTGAATTCATTCCTTCCCTTTGAAGTCCCAGACCTCTACCTACTTCTCCTTAATTTAGAATGACATATATACCTCATTTTGCCTGACCGTCCCTTGGAATTTCCGTGGACTCCCCATAGGTACTAAATTAAATTTGATTTTCTGCTGTTAATCTGTCTCACATCATTTTGATTATTGATCTGTCCTGAAGCACCTTGAAGGGGACAGGACATTCTTGCTCACAGACAGAAACATTCCCAGTTGGCTAGGGCCAAACCTGGTGGAGTATCTCGTTTTTTTCTTTTTTTTTTTTTTAAGATTTTATTTATTTTTTTGACAGAGAGAGACACAGCGAGAGCAGGAACACTAGCAGGGGGAGTGGGAGAGGGAGAAGCAGGCTTCCCGCTGAGCAGGGAGCCCGATGCGGGACTCGATCCCAGGACCCTGGGATCATGACCTGAGCCGAAGGCAGACCCTTAATGACTGAGCCACCCAGGCGCCCTCGTTTCTTTTTTAAAACCCCAACAAATACAGGCAAGAAGCATATGCCATCCTGGTTGGACATTTCTGCTTTTAACTGCCAGCATAATTTCTAGAATACAACTGAGAAAACAAGTGAGATACTATATTTCCTCATTCTCATCTTTTAATCATGTGCATCAATATGCACATTCATACCCTACCGCCTCTCACCTTTGTCTCCCTGTCAGAGAAGGGTAAGTCTGAGTGTCTGTCTGTCTGTCTGTCTGTCTCTCTCTCTCACACACACACACACACACCACGGAGTTATAAATTATTATCTCGGGAGGACTTCAAATATTCGAGGAAGTAATTCTCTGTTTTGGGCACTAAGCTATTTTCTCTAGGCAAATATCTATTTCCATAAGCCAAAGTATTGATAGAAGAGTAACTTTAAAATATATTTATGACCACAGCCTTAATTTAGAACAACAGTTATCAGCATTTTGGGCGCCTGGGTGGCTCAGTTGGTTAAGCGACTGCCTTCGGCTCAGGTCATGATCCTGGAGTCCCGGGATCGAGTCCCACATCGGGCTCCCTGCTCAGCAGGGAGTCTGCTTCTCCCTCTGACCCTCTTCCCTCTCGTGCTCTTTATCTCTCATTCTCTCTCTCTCAAATAAATAAATAAAATCTTAAAAAAAAAATAGTTATCAGCATTTGTTCTTTGGATCACCTCCACCTGCAAAAACCAGAGGTTTTGTTAGAAATGTCGATTCCAGGATCTCACCCCAGACCCACTGAGTCTGGATCTTTGGGGATGGTCTGCATTTTAAACAAGTCCCCGGGTGATTCTGGTGCACACTAGAGCTTGCTAGCCATTGCTTTGTTCACTGGTAAAATTATGGCAAACATTCCCATCATGATTTCACAAAGGTTAGAACAGAACAAAGATCTCCAATAGCGAATGACCGGTATCCTCTGCATTTCCGAATCACATCTTAATACTTATTGGTTTTTGGACAGCAAACCAAAGAAGGGAAAAGCAGAAAGTCATTGTATTTATGATTAATAATTTCTACTATCAGATGCATTTTATTCAATACCCTCTCCCATGGAAGTTGCAAGATACTGAGAAGTCTAAATATAGCTTACAGCTATAATTAGTTTTTTCCTTCTAGCTACAGAAGTTTACTGTGGTGTGTCTCTCCTTAGATTCTGTAATTCAGCAGTGAGTCTTCTAGAATCGCTTAAAATAAGACTTTACTGATGAGGTAATGTTAAGTAAAAAGGCAGGACACCAAAAAATTAAGTCCCGACTTTGTATACAGAGATATACAATGCAAGACTGGAAGAAAATTACCCACAAATCAGCATCAGGTTTTTGTGTCAGGGTTAGCCCCACTCTCCTAAAACTATCTCTAAATTTATGTTCATTTTTTAAATTTAAAAATTATAATTAACACACACTTTAAAATGTTGACTTCTCAGTGAAAAATACTATCATTAGTATAATTGTAACTTACTGTTAAATCAACTTCAAAAGCACAAATTAAGAAAAATTTATTTATATAAGCCTGAAATCCTAAAACAACTATTTTAACTTTTCCATTTCCTTTCTAAACCTTATTTACAGGCATGGATACATGATTTTAACACAATTGTAATCTTAGTTTATCTACAAATTTGAATTCTGTTTTGTCTACTTGACATTATTTTATAAACATGTTTGCACAATTCTGCGTAACTTCAGAGTTATTCTAAAGGGTTTTTTCAAAAAGTTTGTTATGTTGGACTTTATCCATTCCTGTACATAGAAACATTTCTGCTGAACCTAGTTTCAGTTATTGTAAGTGACATAGTTAGAATCATCTTCTTATGAGCTTTTTTCCCTTTTAAAAGTTATTTCCTTAGGGCGCCTGAGTGGCTCAGTTGGTTAAGCGACTGCCTTCGGCTCAGGTCATGATCCTGGAGTCCCAGGATCAAGTCCCGCATTGGGCTCCCTGCTCGGCAGGGAGTCTGCTTCTCCCTCTGACCCTCTTCCCTCTCGTGCTCTCTATCTCTCATTCTCTCTCTCTCAAATAAATAAATAAAATCTTTAAAAAAAAAAGTTATTTCCTTAGAATAAATTCTCAGCAATGGTTTTACTAGTTCAAAGGGCATGAACATTTTTATGGATACTATACGTAACATATTTCCCTTAAGAAAATTGTACCAATTTTTATTACCATAAACTATGGTAAAATTTCACAAGACTAAACTATCATAAAAAAAAGAACTGGATTCCTAAGAAGGCTGAGTTTCTTCTAAAAAAAAGCATTTCTTTTTATTTTTGTTACCCTGCTATGTACATTACTGATTTATTTATTTTTATTTATTTATTTATTCATTTATTCATTTATTCATTCACTCACTTAGTAATCTCTACACTCAATGTGGGGCTCAAGCTCATGACCCTGAGATCAAGAGTTGAATGCTCTTACAACTGGGCCAGCCAGGTGACCCTGTACCTTACTGTTTTAATTTATATTTATTATGATTAATAATTTTTAAGTTATCAATATGCCAGGCACCATTCCAAGAGGTTTACATAAAGTCATGTTTTCCTAAAAGATAACTGAAATAAACTGTCAGTGTATGAAAGCTTATAAAAACCTATCCTCTATATATTAGATATTATAATAAAATAAAACTTAAAATTTCCAGAAAATAAATGATCTTATTTCATAGAGGTGGAAAGGCACAGAAAACTTAACTATGAAAGAAAATAACTTTTAGATTTCTCAGAACAAGTTAATCGAAAGGAACAATAATCTCTTTTATTACTGAGAAAAAAAATTTTTCAGGATTAGAAAGTTCATTTAACCCATATCTTATTTCCTTAAAAATGATAAAATAAAACTTAAAAAAGTCCATTGAAGGAACTGGGCTAATAAAATGCAAAGTGACAATACTACTAATAATTTTTTTTTAAAAATTAAGAAAACCATTCAATAAATGACCTACCTGATTTGACCAAGCACATCAAACTGATGAAGAAGTATAACCTCAGCATATGGAAACTGGAGAGAGTGTATCACATTCACAAGAAGACTGGTTTCCTGGGCAGAGCCTTAGAGTTTCACTGAGGGATTTGCTCAGAGAGCGCTCAGATAACTAATTCAGAGGTGTGGTGACAACAGGAAGTTCCCGAGGGACTGCAGGCGGGTCCCAACCCTTTCAGGGTATTTGACTCCTCCTCTTTTCAATGGAAGGTTGGGACTGTCTGCCTGACACAATTTTATGCATATCTTTTTAAAAATTTTATGCATATCTTAATATCATAATGTGTATTTGCGGAATGATGAGTTCAAAATAGTTTCATTCTTTGTGGGCGGTTTATTAGTCGTTTGGCGTGGTATGTTGAAACCAAGTGTGATTTGAAATATTTGCCTCCTTGTTCTTGTGAATGAAACAAATGCAATGAGTATTCTGTTGGCCTGGGAACACAAAACTATTTTTTATGTTAATTCACACGCTCATGCCTCATATGGCAGTCTTTAGACTTTGCTAAGAACATTTCATTAAGTCTAATCATATACCTGTATTTGTCCAAATATACTTCAGATTAAAGGAAATTTCTATGGCATTATACATATTTTTATTTCTTCCTATCCAGAGTACTTATCTCTCCCTCTCCCTCTCCTCCTCCTTTTTAAAAGAAAAGTAAGTGCAAAAGCTTTAAATAGAGAGCTATGTCAGAATCCATCCACCTCAGTATTGGAAGTAACTGAACTTGTGCTCCCACAGCTACAAGGTACTTAATTCCCTCTGGTGGAAAGTGCTAATAGTATTTACTCAGGCTGGCGAGAGTCTGATGAGCTGAAACATAAATTTATAAATAAAGACACGAACAACTTAAGACAGAGCATCAGGGCAAAAGCCACTAGTCGTTCAGCATTGTCTCCCTGAAATTGGCATTTATGAAGCAAGAGCATCTCTCATGTAAGTTTATCAGTTCTCTGGGTCTGTACTCCACTCGAATAGCAGGGCATTCCTTGCATGAGGTAGATTCCAGCAATGCTTCTCAAAGAGTCAGTACATCAGATTTACTGATTTTCCTGGGGGGCTTTTCAAAGTGTTGTGTGTAGATTGTGTCGTCTCTCAGACCTGATGAATGCCAGGACTCCCTAGCAGCAGTTCACATCCCACGTCTTCCTCACTAGTTGTGTGGCTTTAAGCAAAACATTTCCGTGGGGCACCTGGGTGGCTCAGTTAAGTGTCTGCCTTCAGCTAGGTCAAGAGTCCTGGGATTGAGTTCCATGTCAGGCTCCCTGCTGGGCGAGGAGCCTGCTTCTCCCCTGCCAGCCATTCCCCCTGCTTGTGCTTGCTCCCTCTCTCTCTTTCTCTCTGTCAAATAAATAAATAAAATCTTAAAAAAAAAATTTCTGTTCTCGAACTCTTACTTTTCTCAACTGTAAAATGAAGAAAACAAAACCACCTATCTCACAGGGTTGTTTTCTGGATTTAATGAACTATTATAAGTAAAGTTCTTAGCACTGTGCCTGCTATCCAGGTAAGCTCACTGAGCACTTGGTAACTATATTACCTACGTGGCTACACAGTCCACACCTTTCCCTCCTGTCAGAAGGCAGGCTGCACCAGGCTGAGAAGAGGGATCAGGCGGATTTTAGGAATGGAGAGCACCTGACAGCAGTGATGTTTCAGGTGAACGACTTCAGTCAGTTCTGTAGTCTATTTTTGTCTTTTGTCTCCTGCTGGAGAAATAAATTAAGGATACATAAACAGGGAAAAACAAATAAGTGACCTGCTAGCTTTTTTATTTTTCTATTTGCAGTAAGCTTTGCTGATTTGGAAACAACTACCCTCTGGAACAAATGGAGAATTGTTCTACATTCTCTTAGGAACTGGTTATGGAATGCATTGCTCACTGTTGGATCACTGTGCTTGTCTGATAAATATTTGTTGAGCTCCTATCAGTTTTCGTACCATGCCAAGCCTTTATCTAGACAGAGCCAATGTACATTTTCCTGGAAAAGAGCCAATTATAGGAATAAGAATCATTTCCCTTGGGAGGTCTCTTTGTGTTTGTGTTAATGATTTTCCTGCTGGTAGGCACAGAAGGTCCCCTATAACTTCCTAGCTGTGTGCTTTTTTCTTTTCTTCTTTTTTAATTTTTAAAAAAATTTTTTAAAAGAGTTTATTTATTTATTTGACAGAGAGAGACACAGCGAGAGAGGGAACACAAGCAGGGAGAGTGGGAGAGGGAGAAGCAGGCCTCTTGCGGAGCAGGGAACCCGATGTGGGACTCGACCCCAGGACCCTGAGACCACGACCCGAGCCAAAGGCAGATGCCAAACAACTGAGCCACCCAGGCACCCCGCTGTGTGCTTTTTTTCTACTTCTAGCATTGGAAACAGGACAAGAATCAATGGGAGAACCCATCCTCTCAAAGAAAGAGAATTAGTAAGAAATATCAAATTTGAAAAAAAAAGAAATATCAAATATGAAAAAAATATATCAAATATGAAAAGACATAAAGCACTCCAAAGAATGGGGGAAGAGGAAAGGAGGGGAGAACTGGAGAACAGGTGCACAGGGAATCTTTGAGAGGGGAATTAGTTCTGTCTCTTGCTTGTGGGGTGGTCACGGCAATCTACACAGGTGATAAGACTGCACAGGACTACACACACACAAACACACACACACACAAATAAGTGCATGTGAAACTGGTAAAATCTAAATTCGACCTTAAGATTGTACCAATGTCAATTTTCTGCATTCTAGTTATGTAAGATGTTACAACTGGGGAAACTGGGTGAGGGTACATGACACATCACTGTACTATTTTTGCAGCTTCCTGTGAACCTATAATTATTTCAAAATAAAAGTTTTTAAAAATCCAAAAGATGGGCCAAACACTCAAAGATGTTTCAGTGTTAACATTTACTCCAAGGTATTCTGAGGAAAACCATTTCTTCATTTCTCATCAGCTAGTCAAGAGTGAATAATGGTCAATTTTCTCAATAAAATGACCCTGATAAATAATCACAATTCAAGAATAACACAATTTGCCCCATTTCCAACTTAGTATTATGCACTGGCTTTTTTTTTTCTTAACCTAGGAATCACTTGCTACAGAGAGCAGAAGAGAAAGGGCAGGCAAGCTTCCAAATGTGTGGACAGGAAAAACAGGTATAGAAGTGTACTGGAACTGAGAGGAGGTGGTTTTATAGCTCTCATGGGCCTCAACAGTCAGGAAAGGTGACCTATGTCCTCTCTCACCCTGGTCTAGTGTTCTAAGCTGCTATATGACTCACTATAACGCCTTCTCGTCTGCATCAGTGACCCCACAATCTCTCACTAGCTGTACACGTTTGAAAAAATAAGTCTGTTTCCTTGATTCATTTTCTACAAGGAAATCAGGGCAACTTTCCCCTCATCCGTATATTTGCTTAATTTCTTCATTTGTTTATTGAACATTTCTCAAGCTTCTGTTTAAAAAAATAATAAAGAAAAATGGGGCATGGCTCCTTCTCTCAAGACAGGCATATTAATGATAACAATATTAATATAGAGCTATAGATACATACTCCATAGAACTGAGGAGGAAACAGTAAGATGCTGGAATTGCACAGGGAGGAGCCAAGGGAGAAAGCTCACACAGGAGGTCCTTTCTGAGATGGGTTCTAAAGACTAGGTAGGAGTTCATGAGATGAAGAAGATGGAGGAAAGGCAGTCCAGGCAGAGGCAACAAAACTGGAGTCCTAAGAGAAGTATGGATTGCCAATTTGGATGTATGCATAGGGAAATGATAAAGTAACTTGAAGACAGGCTATGAAGAACTTTGTATGCCATGCTTAGGACATGGGTTTTATCTTCAAGGCAGTGAAAACCTAAATTTTCTTCTTGTTCACTTGTTTATATGTTAATATATTACTATTATGTCATAATACAAATAAATATAAGAAATAATATATGCCAAAACAATATATAACAAATGTAAGAAACAATATAAATATATAGAGAATAATACATTTAGGTTGGCTTATTAACATTATGTGAATAATTTTTTGGTAGTCTATTACAAAACAAGAAGGAAAACACCTGCATACTACTTTTCTTTTCTGGCTTAAGAAGTATTTTTCATGGAATAGAGCTACTTTGCTTTAGAAACCATGACTTCTTAGGGGGCGCCTGGATGGCTCAGTCATTAAGCGGCTGCCTCCGGCTCAGGTCATGATCCCAGGGTCCTGGGGTCGGGCCCCACGTCGCCTCGGGCTCCCAGCTCAGCGGGAAGCCTGCTTCTTCCTCTCACACTCCCCCTGCTTGTGTTCCTGATCTAGCTGTCTCTCTCTGTCAAATAAAATAAATAAAAATCTTAAGAAAAAAAAAGAAACCATGACTTCTTTACAATGTATCAAACAAAATAAATGCAAGTCCAGTGCTTTTAACTGCTTCTTTGCAAAGTGCTGCTCAGAGCCTTTCAAGGACCAACAGCTCTCAGGGGCAGCTGGGTGGCTCAGTCGTTAAGTGTTTGCCTTGGGCTCAGGTCATGATCCCAGGGTCCTGGGATCGAGCCCTGCACCGGGCTCTTTGCTCCGCGGGAAGCCTGCTTTTCCCTCTCCCACTCTCCCTGCTTGTGTTCCCTCTCTCGCTGTGTCTCTTTCTGTCAAATAAATAAGTAAAATCTTAAAAAAAAAAAAAAAAAGGATAAAGCGCTCTAGGAAGGCCTGTATGCACATTGGCAAGACAGAGGCAAAATGCTTTTATTAATTAAAAATTCATTAAAGGGGTGCCTGGGTGACTCAGTTGGTTAAGTGTCTGCCTTGGGCCCGGGTCATGATCCCAGGGTCCTGGGATGGAGCAACGCGTTGGGCTCCCGGCTCAGCGAGGAATCTGCTTCTCCCTCTCCCTGCTGCTCCCCCTGCTTGTGCTTTCTCTCTCTCCCTCTGTCTCTCTTTCTCAAATAAATAAATAAAATCTTTTTAAAAAAATTAAAGTTCATTTAAAAAATTTAAAAAATTAAGGGTAGTGTCCGGTATTTAATGTCCATTGGTACCATGTATTTTAGATTTATTTGGATTTTAAACTGTTTTAAAATATTATTATTAGGGGTGCCTGAGTGGCTCAGTCA